AATGTGGGGCTCGAACCTATGAACTGCGAAATCATGACCTGAGCCAAAGTCAGATGCTTAACCAACTGAGTCACCCAGAGGCCCCTAAAATTTTAAATGTCTTTTAAAAAGTTCTAATAAGTTATTTTTGCTTGGTGACATGCGTATTTTTAAAATAGTGGGATTTAAAATAATAAATGATAAAGTTGAGGATCAGAAACATAAAGTTAATTCTTCAGTCCATTTTTTTAATGGGATGGTAAATATCATCATAGCCACTTTAAGAAAATATAATCACCAGAACTGTAATTGGAAAAAAGGAGCGACAAAGCCTCTGTGTGTACTTAGTCCACGCTTGAGGTCTACCTAGTGCTTGTTAATTTCCTTTAGCTCTCAGTTGTTACCAAGAAAACACTGACATGCCCACCAGGGTGCATGTGTGGCCACCAGTGATTGTGAATAAGTTGGAGAAGGTAACTGTTCCTGTTCTAGCACATTTACTCCTTTTTTTTTTTTTACGTTTATTTATTTATTTTGAGAGAGACAGAGAGGGTGAGAGGGAGGGAGAGAGAGAGAGAGAGAGAGAGAGAGAGACCAGAGAGAGACCATGAGCAGGGGAGGGTCAGAGAGAGAGTGAGAGAGAGAGAGTCCAAGCAGTCTCTGCACTGTCAGCATGGAGCCAGATGCAGGGCTCAGACTCATCAACCATGAGATCATGACCTGAGCCGAAGTCAACAGTCAGAGGCTTAGCCGACTGAGCCACCCAGGTGCCCCCTTTGCTCCTTTTTAAAATCAGCTCTATTGAGGTGAATTTAAATATACTAAACATCACCAGTTTTAGGTGTGTAATGAAATATATTTTGACAAATGGACACAGATGTGGGACCATCGTAATCATGATAGAGAACATTTCTATCAACCCCCAGTTTCCCTCCTGCCCCTTTGTTTCCTCGCACCCCTCCCTGATCCTTAGGTCCTGGCAGCACTGACATGTCACTGTGGTGCCTACTTTCCTAGAATGTCATGTTCATGAAATCACGCAATATGTTTTTGGTGTCTGGCTTCTTTAACTAAGCATACTGCTTTTGACGCTCACCCATGTGTTATACGTACGGTAGCCTGTTTCTTCTTATTCCTCCTATTCCTAGTTCCCTGTTGTACGGCCACACCACAATTTGTTTATCCATTTAGCAGCTAGTGGGCATTTAGGTTGTTTCCAATTTTTAGCTATTATGAATAAATCTTTCAGCCTCATTTTTAAAAAATGTGTATTTATTTATTTTGAGAGAGAGAAAGAGCATGAGCGGACAAAGGGCAGAGGGAGAGGGAGAGACAGAGAATCCCAAGCAAATTCGTGCTGTCAGCACAGAGCCTGATGCGGGGCTCGATCTCATGAAGCACGAGATCAAGACCTGAGCCGAGATCAAGAGTCAGACGCTTAACCCGCTGAGCCACCCAGGCACGCCAGCCTCATTTTAATAACAACCAAGAAATTCTTCTTTACAGCCATTGCTTTCCAATTTAAAAATATGGCTAACTTCAAGTTGGATTGAGTGAGATCATCAGTGTTTCTAATGAGAACTGAAAGAAAACCGGTTGGGGAAGACTGGCTCAGCTACCCTTCATGATGCGCTCACACCCAGCTAGGATTAACCTCTCATTTTCTCTGCCTCGGGAGTTTTTGCCTAGCTTTCTTGTGGTGTATCGCACCCTCTACTTTCTATGTTAGCCATTTTGAATTCCCTGTTAGGAGCAAGGACTATGCCATACTTCTCTTTATTTGACTCGGTGCCTAGCAGACTGTCTTTCACGTTATGGGGTTATGATAAATATTAAATGAATTGATTCAGATTCTTCTCTAATCCCTCCCTTGGCTACCTAAGTGGTTTTTATTACTCTTTCAGTCCATTATTGCATTGCCTCTGGAGTGTCATAAAATAGGCTTCCTTAAATCAGAATACAGTAGATCGTCGGTTTGCAAGCATAATTCGTTCCGGAAACATGCTTGTAATCCAAAGCACTTGTATATCAAAGTAAATTTCAAGAACCATCGGCTCAGTTGTGATCATGTGACATTTGGCTTCACATACTACTCATACTGCAAGACATCGCTGGTTTATCACATTAAAATTTATTAGAAATGTTTGCTCGTCTTGTGGAATACCTACAGAACAAGTTACTGGCAATCCAGGGTTCTACTGTATTTCAAATCCCATCTCTGCCTTCACATCACTTACAATGTAACCTTTGAGCAGATTTCTTTTTTCAGCTATAATGTGAGCAGATTTAAATAAATAGATTTGAGGGGTGCCCGGGAGGAGGCTCAGTCAGTTAAGCATCCAGCTCTTGACTTCAGTTCAGGTTGTGATCTCATGGTTCATGGGTTCGAGCCCCATGTCGGGCTCTGTGCTGGCAGTGCAGAATCTGCTTGAGATTCAATCTCTCTCCCTCTCTCTCTGCCCCTCCTCTGCTTGCGTTCTCTCTCTCTCTCTCTCTCTCTCAAAATGAATAAACCCTAAAGAAACAAACAAACAAACATAGGAGGAAAGGGGACTGAAGGGAGGAAATAGGAAAGTAAAGACAGGCTGTGTTTTTATGCAATGAAAAGAAATGGTCACTAGTATTATTGTGATCATTTTGTACTATGTACAAATATCGAATATGTTTTACACCTGAAACCAATATATTATATGTCAATTATACCTCAATTAAAAATAATAAAATCACATGTCATTTCTTAAATAGAGTAAAAATTGGGGAAGGAGTCAAGAAATAAAAGTAGCTCAATGTTTGTTGGTAGACTACTCTTTTAAATGGTCTCATTTTGTAATGAGAACTACAATAACAGTAAGTATTTTTCTATAGTAAATTTGGAATATCAGTAATTAGGCAACTTCTCATGCTGAAAATTGATGTTGAGGCTGGCAACCCCTACGGAGGGGACCCATAGCCCCAGTTTGCAAAGGGTAGCCCCAGTTATGACTGTTGTCTCGATGTGCTAATAGTACGCCTTTTCACTCTCAAATAGGTATTGGTTTTGAGCAGTGCATAGTACGGCTACCCAGTTATTAGGAGTCTCAGACCCATAACCAGGGGTCTGACCTAGGAGTGGTTACTCAGTAGAAGAGACCACAGTGCTCTTTTTTGGCTGATTCCTTCAGCAGCATGGTCTCTAGCTGGCAAAGCCACTAGAGCCATCCTCTTCCAGGCACTCTTCCTTTTTAACATGTCTGAAAAGTTTTGCCTCCTCATCTGAGACATGAGCAGATTCTCCAACCTCACGAAAGGTGCATCCACGCTTCCCCCACAGCAAGGGTATAAGAACATCCGTTCATTAGTGTTCACTGCCCACTTCTCATGTGCCAAGTATTGAGCGGCGCTCAGGGTAGAAAGAGACAAAGATGACAAAAAGGGCCAGGCACATAAACCAATAACGCAAGTGTGTTAAATGCTATCTTATAGGACATATACTTTTGCAACGTGTACTTAGGTCATGGGGGAAAGAATAATTTAGGAGAGAATGGAAGGAGAGGGGGAGAATTCTGAGGACACCTCAAAGAGCAGTATATACTGAACAGAACGATGGGGTGGGGGTGGGGGGCATGGAACAGGATGGGTGGGGGGAGACACCCCAGGAAAACAAAGAGACATATGCAATGATCCATGGGCAGAAAAGACACAGTGTGACTGGGGAGGCAGAAAGTGGCCTAGTCTATCTATTTGTTGCAATATACCAGTTTGGAACTGAGTGTGAAGCAAGACCTTGGAGCAAATCCAAGGGGGTGTCGTTATTAGAAGCACCAGAAGGGACCTTATTTCACATTTAGCATGGACTCCTGATGATTCCATTTGAGTGAGATATGGGTGTAGTTTCCTTCTGAAATTTTCCACCACAACATTCCTGCATGCATTGACCAATTTCAACGCAGACTTTCCTTATGTTGCTTTATAATTAGAAGCCAATGAATTGAAGCTCCACAGCGGTATGTAGACTACTAGTGATAGCTTTATGGAATTGTTTATTTTTAGTTTGGCAAAGGCAAGGCAGTAAATATCTCAATTAGTAAACTAAAACAGCACGGATGAGAAATGCCCACAAGGAGATAAGGAGTTAGAAATAACTAAGTCAGTTAATTAAAGGAAACCCTCATTTCACTTACCCATATTTAGAGTATGAGGAACCGACCTAATGTGTGTGTGTGTGTGTGCGTGCGTGGTGCCGCCCGCGATGAGACCCCCTGCGTTCATCAGCTTCTAATTGTTCAGGCAGTCTCTTTCTTTAAGAACCACGGTGATGGGTTATTGGACTCAGTGGCGTGACCCATCTTGCTGGGTCAATATCCCGTCACAGCAGGGTGGGATATTGTCTCGGACCATGGAATATCCTCATCCCGCCATTTCTTTCAACGTGACCCCAAAGGGGCCCTACTGTGACACGCTAGGGGAAGTCGTTCATTTTCATATTCGTATTTAGATTCACATTACATGGCCTAATGTGTGAAGACATTGAATGAAAACATGCAGGTGGTACCGCAGAATCATTTCCTCGCTTCTAGAGAGAATCTCCTGCGTTACATCCGAGCGTCTCCAACGCTTCGTTTCGAGAGTTTAGGGTTTGGAGGATGGAATCAGGCTCTTCCTAGAACCGTAAGATGATTAGGAAATACCATTCCAGAGATAAAACATGAACTGGTACCACAACATTGACAGTCTTACAGTAGAGGGGGTTTGTGTTTTAAAGTTACAAAACACCAATATTCGGGTGTCACGATTTTTTGATTTTTAAAGTTGCGTCCTTGAGTCCAGTTAGATTTATGGCGCGTATTTACCACAGTAGGAAGGGTCCTTTGGATCTTCCCCCCCCCAGGGGGGCGGGAGTGGGGGGGAGTCCGACAAAGACTGTTGTCTTCTCACGCCCCACAATCGACGACCGCGTCAGCTCTCTGGGGTCTGTAGGGGAAATGAGGAGGCCCCGTGCATCTGCAGATTAAATTTCTGTCTGTCTCCTCTCTGCTTTGTAGACTGGAAAAAGATAGCATTCAGCAGAGGCTTAGCAACGAAGCAAAGGCCCAAGCCCTTCAGGCCCAGCAAAGGGAGCAGGAGCTGACACAGAAGATACAGCAAATGGAGGCCCAGCATGACAAAACTGGTAGGTGGTAGGGGAAGATTAGAGCCTGGGCACTTGCTCACAAGCCAGGCCCACGCCTTACTGTGAAATGACATCAGGAACACCTGTAACCTTTGGCTGGCCGAAGGGAGCAGATGCTAACTACACCGGAGATTCCGAATTACATATTAGTTAGCGTTTAAAAGAGAAAACGGAAAGTATTGCCCACTGTCTGTTGATTTCAGAGTGCTGCTCTCACATCTGTTGCACCATCTGGATTATGAGTTTATTTACCTGTGTTCAAGAAACGTAAAGCTGAGAGAGACCACAACAAAGTAGAAAAACAAAGGGCTTGTTTTTGGCTGGGTTTTCAGGCACACATGTTATATAAAGAAAATAGCATCAGAGGCTCTGCGGGAAATGCTCTGAGCTTACAGTTAGAGTCTCCTGAATAGCATTGAACAGTTCCCACAGTACACACATTATAGCTACTCTAAAAGCCTAATGAGTTTGCTTCAGCATCCAAACTGGAGAAAAGCTTTAGCCATTAATCGGTTCTTAATTCACTGTCGCAGCTGGATGTAATTCAGTGGCTCCAAATTGATATGTTCCTTTATTTAATCTTTGCAGCTTCGAACATTTTTAGCATTTGTATGATGTCCCCACCTCCCCCCAGCCCCTGTCTAGAGTGATGTTTAATCCTTCACATTCTTCAAGTTCTCAAACTGCTGGGGAAATTCGCTAATACAAGGCATTGACCACAGCTGGCAGCTTGGCTAAAAATTGCCATCTTTCATCACGTTGGCGCGATTTTGCAGACTGAGTTGGCCAGTAACTCTTTACCTTGCATTTGAAAGTAAAATGCACTTTCCAAGCAGGCAGTTTGATGTGTTCAGTCAGAGCATTATGTGGTTCCTTTCACTTTGGAGTTGTGTGTTCACAGACAGTGTTAGTCAAAACAAGACAGTGGCAGTCATTATAATTCCGCACCACATACTCCAAGCTGATTGTACTATTAAAAACAAAAGTTTAATTGATCCCGTCTCTTCCAGAAAAGTGTTGCCTGGTTTTTAGTGCCTTGATTTATTTTGCTCTGGATGATGCATGCTTTTTGCCAATCGATAGTTAACATTGAAAAGAAATAAAGGGACTTAGCAAAGCTTACACTTAAAGATAATTCGCACATGATTTCATTGCACTGCATTCGGTGACATGCTAAAAAATTACTGCTTATCCTGTAGGTGGAAAATCGGTCATGTAAAATTCACTAAATCATCGATTTGCTTACAAAGAGGTAAATGTCATACCGACTCACATGAGTCCCTCCAGCACTTTCCAGACTCAATAGATGTTTTTCCACTAAAAGTAAAAGGAGGAAATTTCAGGAAAAATTAGCGTTTTGCCTTTCCTGCTTGCAGGATTCCGGCGATCGAGGGGTCTTGGGCAGAATCTCTGAGCGCTACGTGAGAGTATTTAACTGTTAAGACCACCTTAAGAGCACTCCCTTTTATTTTGCAGGAAAATATCACACTCTCTTCAATTCCTTTGACCAGATCTTCCTTGAAGCTCATGCTGTTGACAATGAAAGCTGAGTTCTAAGGAAATTATGTGTTTCACCTTCATAATGAAAGAACTATATACCAGGGGTGGGGATAGGGAAATATATGAGCAAATGTGAAACTCAAAGCAGGAGTTACAGTATACAAGAGAGTTCCTCAGTTATTTTGTTTTTGAATTATCTAGTCATGATTATTTTTGACACTCTGTTTATAGTAAAATTGTCAAAATAAAAATATAATATCTTGCCTATTACAAAGATATAAGCATCTTGAGGTTTCTGACAGTTTATCAGCACATTAAAACATTACCCCAAGCTGGTATGATAAAAAATGTTTCTGGTGTGTAATTATTAGAAAAATTAATGCCTCCCAAGATTTAGTGTCTTGCCAGGTGACTGGTGCTTCGACTTAGGACATTGAAATTGACCTAGTGGCTTATAGGAAATGGGTAGTGGTCTTAGTACCTTTACCACTCTACATACAGAAGCATCCTGTCACAACCATAAACATCTTATGTTGGTGGGGGGGGGGTTGTTGTTATTTCTAGAAAATGAACAGTATTCACTGCTGACCTCCCAGAATACATTTTTGACAAAGTTAAAGGAAGAGTGCTGTGCATTAGCCAAGAAACTGGAACAAATCTCCCAAAAAAGCAGGTAAGTAATATGATAGAATACTTTCAGAGCACTGTTTGTGTAAATACTATCGTTTGTTTCCTTAAGAAAAAAAAACAGCATTTCCACTATTTTAGAGTCTAATGTCAAAATTAGATATGTGTTGATATGTTAACTGTGAAAATATTTTCTCTGTATGAACACTTTCTTGATTGTCTGTACAGACACCCTGGTGTGTTTTCATGATTATGTATACGTACTATTATTTGACTTTTTTTAATGTTCAAAATTGATAACTATGAAACTTCAGAACACAACAGTCAAGATGACAGGTATTCTAATAAAGGATGTGGGTAAGTTAAACAGTTGGAAAGTCTTATGTTAATACAGTTCATGTTTTAATCTATTCTCACGATTCTCCGTGAATGCACAGAAGCTATCTTTAGGTCAAATGATAATAGATGAGATGTGTACATATAACAGTGAAAGTAGGGGATACTTCAAAATACATAAACCCAAGCCATCCTTTTGTTTCCCCTAAAATTGTTTTACTAGGACAGCTATCATTCATTTTCTAGGTACACTGTTTTTGTTTATTTGTGTTTTTAGTAGGCTCCACACCCAATGTGAGGCTCAAACTCACCACCCTGAGATTAAGAGTCGTGTGCTCTACTGACTGAGCCAGCCAGCCGCCCTGGTACACTGCTCTTTTATAAAATACATTGATTGAGATCTTAATTATTTTTGGCACATTTTCTAATCAGATTATTTTAGCGAATGAATTATTTTAGACTCTAAATTGTAAAAAAAAACAAAAAACAACAAAAAACCTGAGTTTTCACCTTGGCTCTGAGAGTAACTGTGTAGTCACGGACAAATTTATTCGACCTGCTTGAACTATTGTTTCCTCTTGTAAATGAACGATGTTGGACAGAGTCCCTTTGAATTCAACTACGAAAGGCATCATTCATGTAACTAACAAGCTATCAGATATCACATTAAAATATAACCAAATGGAAAATAACCTGTAGATCTCTTCTGTATTTTTCTGAAGCTCACTTAGATCTACACAGAGCAAGCAGTAGTGCTCAGCAAACAAACTTCTGACTTTGGTATCTCATTCAGAAAGAATTTCCAGGAGTATCAGAGCATATCTGATGACCCTGAGCCCCATCTTGCGTTCCTGCATCAATGAGGTGGCTTAGCTGATGGAATCCCCATCCCTGAATCTTTTGGGGGAATCAGAAGGCTTATGTTATGAACTCAGTTCTTTCTGCTCTCAGAAAGACAGAAGCTCCCATAAAGCACCCAGAATGTGCTCTGACATGGGCACCTTCTTAACAAATACTAATTAAATATCTTGTTTGGGTAGGGAAAAAGCTCAGGATGCTAAAATGCCAGATATTTTCAGGAAATTTGACAAGGGAACCCAAATGATTTTGTTATGGAAGAGACTCTCATAATATATCAACAGTACTTACTGCTAACTAGAAATGTGTGGTTTGCCTCACATAAACCCAAAAGTATGTAATTTGTTAGAAGAAATAAACAACAGAACAACAACAAACTGGATCGTATAATTTAAGAAGTTGATCTGGGACTTAAAAGATTATGTTATCTTAATATTGCTTTGTGATTATTAATTATCTTGCTCTCTAAGGAGACATAATTGGGGAAACTGCAGTGTATTAAAAGGAGGAGTTGCTATATGCTTGGTATATGTTACTTAATTCTTACAACTTGAGACAGGAATTTTTTTTTAATGTTTTTATTTATTTTTTAGACAGAGAGAGACAGAGCATGAGCAGGGGAGGGGCAGAGAGAGAGGGAGACACAGAATCTGAAGCAGGCTCTAGGCTCCGAGCTGTCAGTACACAGCCCGACGCGGGGCTCGAACCCACGAACTGTGAGATCATGACCTGAGCTGAAGTTGGACGCTTAACTGACTGAGCCACCCAGGTGCCCCGAGACAGGAATTATTACCTTCTTTTACAGATGAGGGACTCCATACTCGGGGTGTTGAAATAGCTGAGAAGTGGGAGAGCTCGAGTTCTATCTTCGATATTTCTAGTTCCGAAGCCAATGATCTTTCTTGTGATAAGTATAATATTTCACATCTACTACCAAAGAAAATCCAGGCCAAAGTAGTTATGATAAGAAAGTTTGGGAAAGAAAATTTAATCTTTAAATTCCCATGGAGTAGGGCGCCTGGATGGCTCAGTCAGTTAAGCATCCGACTTCAGCTCAGGTCATGATCTCAGGGTTGGTTCGTGAGTTCGAGCTCTGCATCAGGTTCTGCTCTGACAGCGCGGGGCCTGCTTGGGATTCTCTCTTTCCCCTCCCTCTCTCTCTCCCTCTCTCTCCCTCTCTCTCTCCCCCTCTCTCTCTCTGCCCCTCCCTCGCTCACGCACATAATGCTTTCTATTTCTCAAAATAAATAAAAACTTAAAAAAAAATGCCCAGGGAGAAGTAGGCATGCTTGTCATGTGAGGGTAAACCCGTGACCCTGGGTCAACTTGTGCCCTGTGCCCTGGGTCCTCTTTTTCCTGCTCTAGATCTGTTCATTCACCCTGTACTGATCCAGTGAAAGTGAACCCCAGCCCCTCTCCACCTCCTCTTGCTTAGGGTGCTTCCGGTTCCTGACCACTACTTTGTCAGTTGGGTGTGTTCCTTTATGCCTGACACACAGATGGCACGCAACACATATTTACTGACTGACTGAATGAAACAAGTGTGGTTTCACCCCCCCCCCCCCATATCCTAATCTGACTCTGGTCCCAACCTGTTCCTTTGTTGATGACAGGCGGTGTGCAGCAAAAGGCACTTTGGAATTCAGAAAGAGCTAGGTTTGAGTCTCACTCTGCCCCTGGGCTTCATGACCTTGGGTACATTGCCTAATCTCTGCAAACCTCAGCTTCTCCATCTGAAAAACATTTCTAAAATCATGTTGCAGGACTGTTGTGGGAATCAGAAATATAGAGAGATACACGGGAACGCATATATACAGCCATGCATATGTAAAGCACCTGGCACCGTGCTCGATACGTAGAAATATAACTGTAGCCGATGGCATTGTTGGAAGGGTCTTGACAGGGGTGATTTGGATCTGACTTTGATGTAGCCATTATTGTCTTTTCCAGGGAGGGTCTGAGTGCCGTTCTGACAGACACAAAGTCTATACCACAAGGAAATACTTTTTAAAGGCAAAGGAGGATCAGGGAATGTGGATCTGGTTGTGTTTCAAGTCCTGCTCTGACGCCTTGTTTGGTAAATCTGAAGAATTAGAATAGGCGTCTACTGTAACTTTACAAGTGGACCCCAAACTAAGGCCTGGCAATCATAAGCACTCAAAAAATTGTTGCTTATTATAGGTAAGACTTCTAGGAGCCCCCGAAATTTACAACGTATTCATTTTGTGTATCTCAGAAGAAAGTGGTCAGTAGGCTAAACTGTGATTTTAAGGTTTTTTTGTTTGTTTGTTTGTTTGTTTACTCTTAATTTCTTGTCCACTGACTGAGTCTCTTTTCCTGCTGGCTCCCTCCATGAAGCCTAGGACATTTTCAAAATTCATATAAAATGTAACATGTGATTTCGACATTACCCTTTGCTTTGAATTCACCTATAGAACTTGAAGGGCTCAAAGTGTTTCTTTTTTTAAAAAAGATTATAAACTTGCTAAGTCTTATGGGAGACCTCCAGGAGCATGCCTCTGTATACCCGATACTAAACTTTTGGGATAAATAATTTTTCCTGTGCTTTGAGGTGAGGAAAACCTTGGAATTTTCTGAGCTTTCTAAAATTGTCATCGTTGTGGAAGCTCAGTCTCCGAAATAATTAAACCACATGGTAATTTTGATCCGGCTTTTCCTCAGAGTACTATGGTACAATTTTTCTTAAAAGTAGGTGTATTTCTTTTGTGCCGGTCAACAATTTAAAACAGTCCTTGTTGGTCCCCTCGTCTTGCCCATGCCGTTTCTCTAAGGGTTCCATGTTATTTATAATCCCATACCAACCAAATGGATTCTTACCATTGATAATAAGCTTTATTTTTTAGTTCACAGATCCAGCCGTTTGACTGGAGCCCATGCAGTCGCTAGGAAAGCTGACAGTCTGGGCTCACCATTCCGTGGTCTCGAACTCCTTACCCCAGCCCCGTGCTGGGCTGCTCTGGGCAAGTGTTTTGAAACGGTTTCTCCGTGTGTGTCTGATGTATGTGTTTTCTCCCCAAGCAACTTAAGTCCTATCCTCCCGTTCTCTGGAAGCCCTCCACAGCCGTTAGCAGGGTACTTTCTGCACGGCGCGTGCCATGCTGCCTGGATGGCGTCTGCAACTCCAGGGTTTGTGAATGGCACGTCCCATTTTAAAACTAAAAATGAACTGCCGATCCTGTGCCTTTTACATAGCTTGTTTTTTGACCACGAGACGAGAGAATTAATTCCATTTTGCTCTTAATTGGCACCGGGCAGACGTTCTGGCTGATTTTAGTTGACGCTCTCATAAACTTTAGCTACCCTTCCGTCTCTCTTCCCCGGGACCCCGAGAGCTTATTACAGGGATAGGGTTTGTTTTTGAGGTTGGTAAGTGGAGATATTTAAATATCCTTGGTGCAACTGTGATTTCTCTTTATCCAAGTGAGGGAAGCGTTCCCTCTCCGCAGGCGCTTGGATGAATCAGCAGTGACATGTTTGTGGTGTGGTTTGCTGTGCTCTGACCGTGGCCTGCGAAAGAGCTGAGAAAGGTTGGGCACTGGGAGGGGTGAGCCTCGGGCAGCTGCAGAGCGGAGATCAAGGCTGTGCTGGGTTGCAGGGTCTCAGCACTTGCTTGTGGAAGAGAAGGGCTCGGGAGCACACAACCCCGGTCTATGCGGCTTTGCGTCTCCTCTCTTTTCTGTCACTGTCACTTTCTGGGTTGCTAGGCTTGTGGATTGATGTCTAACACTGCCCATTGTGTATTTGTGATTTGCGTTTTGTAATTAAGAGGAACAATGGGAGTCCATTGGGTCTCGTTATATATAATGGTTGGTTTAATTTGTTTCACTTCTA